ACAAGCTTCTATGGAGGAACAGGATAAAATACCAATTCCCTCAGTTATTTTGTTATACTCCAATACTGATTTATCAAGCCCTGTTTCTGGAAATGACACAATGTCACATCAAATGTCCTCCACGTTCCTGGCAGAAAAGCTGGTCTTTGAAACATGTCTTTAAAACCAGACCGAGGAAGCCAAAGTTTGTTGAGTGATTTCCCCGCACGAAGTCGAGAGAAACGGTGACTTGTGACTGATTTCTCAAGAATACTGTAAGACCAATTGCAAACATTTTCCACACATTCTGACCTGGAGTAAGACAGAAATCAGACACTTGCAAAACTCTCTGTCTGTCATGTCCTGGCTACCAGGGACTGTTTTTTGCCTCTGTGTTTACAGGGTTTCCAACCTTAAACTTGATTGCTGTATGATTAACTATAAAAAGTTGGTATCGACTGACTGACTGACTTTCTACCCCACCAGGACATCACACAAGCGATAAACACCCGATGACACAAAGTGCCACCATGCGGATGAGGATCGCCGTGGAGAGGTCCCAGAAACCGCGTTCAGACATTTGGCCATATTTATGGTCTGCCTATATTGCGGCCCCTGGCAAAAGCCAGGGTGGGGCTTCAAATAACAAAAAATTTCGTCCTAAAAGGAACGAAACTGGATTATAATATATTTAAAAAAAAGTTGGTATCGTTTATAAGTGAAGTAAGTAAAGGACCCTTTTCCATGCCTTCACGCAGATTGGGTATATAGGGCTAGACCTATACTTTATAGACCAATCGGCAATCCCTGGGTAATGTGGTCACCATTACCCAGCCACCTTTTTACTTCCCAGAAATATACCGTGTACACAATTATTTTTTGCATGCAGCCTCAGAATATCCATGACGCAAAAATAGTGGCATAGATGAATATCAGCCAATTTCTTTGATCTTTTCGAAGTATTGTAAATAAGTAGAGTGAAATTTTAGATTTTACAGTAAACATCTGAATTTCCGGTTCTATTTTTTTTCCAGAGGAGTGTCTTCGTAATAAATTAATCAGTGAAATTAATCTATTTATCCTTTATGGTCAATCGAGCTGGGTCAAGAAAGACATCACATCACTCGGCGAATTCCCATATGCGCTCCGTCCCCATCTTAAGCAGCCAGTGGAGAGTTCTATACCAATGGTGCCGGACACAGTTTGATTATATCTCCATGTTGCCTTTCCTCTGAGTGTAGTGTGCCGGTCAGCCCCTCTTGTCACACCCAGGTGTATCAATCTCTCCATGTCATGATAATCTATCTTCTGACTTCGTTACTTGTTCCCAGAGAGCCTTGACCATATCTGCCTTGTCATGTATCAGTTTACCACCCAGTGGTGCAGATCAAACCAATCTGCCTTGTTCAATTACAAACATGTCCCCAATATGAATAGTTAGTATTGTCCTTCGGTCATCATTAAACCCCATGATATACCTTAACTGCACAGAGAATTGTATTATTGTTGACACATCTGGATTTGAGATGCATTTCTTGCAATTGTATATGTACCTAAAGAGATGATGATTTTCATCCACTCATCAAAAATTGGTTTTGTTCATTCTGAATTTGGCGATCCCAAAAGGTTGATAATTGTTACTGGTTCAACAAATTGTAATCCATCATGGTGCCAGTACTCGTCTTCCTCTCCTAGCACATGTTCAACACACTTTATTCGCAGACATGAATGTCTTTTTTTGAGAGGGACTCACGTGTCAGAACTTCAACATCACACATTTTAAATGTACTATTTTTTTTTTGGCAACTTGTCTTTGACTTTAGTTCAAACAAGCTCTATTGGGTTGAGGTGAGAATGATATGCAGGGAGAGGCAGAGAAGTGTGGCCGTATTCATATTGATTCTGTCAGTGTGATACACCTTTGTCTTACTTGTTTTCCTTACAAGCTGCAACAACTCTACCTCCAAATATGTGTCGTCAATGTTGACTTTCTCTTTTGCAAGTCCTGTCCTAATTTGATCTTTTGTGTTTGATGTCGACTTTGATGAAGACTTTGTCGTCATCTAAGAGGACATTATGATAGGTGGCTATATTCATTACTGGGTATAATGGTCTGTCCGGAAGTGGAAGAAGATCATTCTCCATCCAGTGCCTGAAAACCTTTCCATTCATTTCAATGTGGAGGTCCCTACCATCCAAAACATAAGTCCAGGATCATAGATACGGCCTTTGTCACTGCTTCCTATGTAAGTGAGCATAATGCGCTGGCCTTTGCTGCTTGGGGTGTTTATTTTCTGTTCACCGTTTACTGACTGCCATTATTGAGCATAGGTTATGGTGAGCATTAACCCATGATTCATCCACATATACAATCTCACAGCCTTGCCTCCATCGCTCACAGATCTGCCTCAGGTATTTGCTTCAACTAGCAATCAAACGTGGCTTTTCACAAATAATTTTCCTTCCAGCTTCTTTCTGAAATGTCAATACTGCATTGTGATTTGTTTCTAACATTTTTAGGATCTCAAGTCTAGTGACATCTACACAAACTTTCCTATTCCTTCCTTGCTTGACATAAGTGTACTCTATGTTATGTCTAATCCATCAGTAAAATGATGCACTATCCAGACCAAGCGCCAATCGAGTTCGTTTCTCTACGTCATGAATATCATAATATAAATGACCCATCTTAGATTCCCCAAGGAAATGCTAAGACAGTAAAACGGTAATTTTATGCATCGTTATAAATTTGCAGCTCAAATTCATTTTGAAACTGATGTCTGTGTCAACTTTTATAAGCTAGCTATATGACATAATAACCCAACACTAATTTGTGGATGCGCCTTTGACTAAACAACCATGACAGACGTCTTATTTTAGCGGGAGGTCACTTAGAGTGTTCCACTGCACGAGAAAATCATAAAATTACTTTGGTTTTCTTTGACCCCCAGTTAAACCAGTCATAGTGTGCATTACTTCCTGAAACTAATGAAAGTAAACCTTCCAAAAGTCTACCAAGACAGTTTCATGATAAAAAATATATAACGTATAGAAAAAGAAAAAAAATACACATGATATTCTTCTTTAGTGAACAAATACTTCCTCAATGTCATGGACATTTTAAGGCTTCATGCAAAACAATCGTTGCGGTCAAACAGACAGTGACTCAATAAATATGTTCAACAATATCCAGACTAGTTTCGTCAGACAAGAATATATTTTTTTTCTCTTCTTTTCGTTAACCAGCTGTTAACTCCCACAAAAGGTTCTGGTTGTTCCTCCCTTTCTGGACTTTGGTTTTATTCCATGTTTGGAGTTTTATATATATATATATATATATATATATATATATATATATATATATATATATATATATATATGTTACATTATTTCCTCTCAGCATATGCACTCTATATGTGTCTATTATATACGAAAATGGAACTATGTCGGCCACGTCCTTAGAATGGATAAATCAAGACTTCCTTACCAAGCCCTCATTTGGACACCACAGGGGAAAAGATCTCGTGGAAGACCAAGGGAAACCCTACGTCTATCATTCGCTCATCTCAGACCTACAACATATGTCACACTCTGACTATGTTTGATACTAACTAACGACTCTAATTTGTCGCTATAATTTGTTTTACGACATGCTTGTGGAGAGGGGAAGGGGTCATACGCCATGTAATTATTCAACACAGAGCAGGCGTTATCTATCTTTTTAAGCATGTGAATAAATCTATGTCTGTCTGTCTGCCTGTATGCAAATCTGACGGTCGATCACAATTTTATATATATGTTTACTTTGACTATCTGTCTGATATTCTGTCTCAAGCACACACGCACACACACACAAACAGACACACACATGTATACTATATATTTTTTACATACGCATACACACACACACACACACACACATATATATATATATCAGTATTTCAGCCTGTAGGTCTTACAGTCTATCACATATATCTATCTGTCTGATAGTCTGTCCCGTGTATATATATATATATATATATATATATATATATATATCTGTATATATCTGTATATATATATATATATATATATATATAAATAAATAACGCCTGCTCTGTGTTGAATTAATTGCATGGTGTATGACCACTTCCCCTTGTTGCGTATCCTTTACAGGACGTTGCAGAACCAACCCGAACAGCCCCTGGCTGTTGTGTGGTTTTTTAGGCAAATTTACGTCCAGTAGTTTGCCATTGCTTTCTGGACAGTCTGCTTTCTTGATACCACTGTTGAAACCAACGCAAGGCGCATGACCCGCAGCTGGAATCGAACCCGGCATTCTGGCATTACGAAGCGTTTGCATCGACTAAGCCACAGAGCCATATATATATATATATATATATATATATATATATATATATATATATATATATATATATATATATATATATATATATATATATATATATATATATATATATAAATATATATGCCTGTCAATCAACCACATATCTAAGTGTGTTAGCCTGATTGCCACTCTAACTGAAATATAAGTACGATACTGCCTTAAATTAACTTCTTCTTCGTTTTTTTTTTCGCGTTCACCAGCTGTACACTCTGGCGGAAAGTTCTGGTTGCTCGTCCACTACTGAACTGCAGTCCTGCTCCAGAACCTGAATGTTGCGTGTGCATCAGTTTTACAGATCTCATTCTCTTGAATACAGACTGTTGGTTCCTTGCCTCTCCGGCAGATGCACTCCGACTTCAAAGGAAGCTCCCCAATTAGTCGACTCTTACGACATGCTTTTCGTGAGGCAGTGGGTCTATTCTTGTTTTCCCCATAATGGGGCCCTGGAACCCACACGGGGGCCTTAGATTAACAAAAACAGCTACTGTTTTCGTTGTAATTGTTAAACCAGGATAACTTTGACATTAGTCACAGCGTCGAGGTAAGCGATCAGTATGTGTATAACGCTACTATTAAAATACTTTATTTATGTTTCCACAGGTTTTGGGGATGGTCTCTGTCGGATGGGGGATAGCCCTGCTGTGTTCTACTCCTCTACTGTACGTGTTCCACGCTAGATACGACGACGCCAAAAATAAAACGGTCTGCGAAAATGTCTTCCGGGGTAAACCTATAATACATAGGCAAGCATTTCTCACGTATGCAGCGCTGGTCAACTTCCTCATCCCACTGATCATCCTAATCTTCTGCTACGTGAGAATCTTTCTCAAGATCGCCCGCAAAGCCTCTGACAGCCGCACCAACAAACGGCAGAGCTTCAAACCGGGGAAGATCCAACTGACCAGCAATACGACTTCGGCAACACTACACAGCGCTAAACTGAAAACCCTGAGAATGACGGTGGTCATTGTCGGCTTTTTTATCGTCTGCGGATTGCCCTACTTCTTTGCCGAAATGTTCATGTCGTATGGGGATTTCAACAAGCTCAGTACCACAGCTTATGCTCTACTTGGAGGTTTAGCCGTTGCCAACTCTGCCGTGAATCCCTATATCTTCCTCCTCTTTAGTGTCAACGTTAAGTGTCTGAGGAGCATGAAACTATGCCCAGTTCAGACGGGCCCCAACAACAGACAACTCATGTACAACGGAAGTGTTCGATCTCGAGAGTACTCCTCCACACCTTACTCCCGCACACCCATCACTGGGGTATCCATAGATGCTTACGAGTTGACCATCTCCACGACCGCCAATAAACCATCCATTGCTACTGGTTACAATCCAAAGATTGGTTATATCTCTGGTTAGCCAGTCTTCTCATACACATAAATAATCTCATAGTTCATACCACAAGATTCCTCCTCCGTGAACAATAATATTCAGTCAGTACTTTGAAGAATATTAGTTTATCAGGACGAACTGTTTATTTAGTTTATATTAGTAGAATTCAAAAGGATCGAAGCGGCTGAAAATCCTTCATGGGCATATACATATATGTTTTTTTAAACAAACGGACAATGATACAAACACAAACAAGAATACAGGAAGCCATTGATGTTGACTGTGAGAAGTGTCACACAATCTGCACGGCACGATGGATTAGTTGAAGCTCTGAGTACGCCAGTCGTTGCGATAAAGATGGAATTAAAATGATATTGAAATTTGTAATGCATTTCGATTGCAGAGGATAAAGCTAAATGCGTAAAAAGGAACAAAATAAGTATAAAGATGCAAGCACACGAACGCGTATAGTCATTAAGTTGCACATCAAAAAAAAAAAATATATATATATATATATATATATTGCGTTTATGTATCTGGTCATATTTGTATACCGCTTTACGGAAAACTAAGGAAAACAACATGAGATGTATCAGGGTCACACAATCCTGATCTCATGAACGACCGGACAGAATTTACATTGTGGCATTTCGATGACCACACAACATATGAGATTAAATATTTTTGCACTTCATTGTCGTATACTTCGCACACGGAAGGCTTTTCATACACATCCTTTCACACGATTGATTCAACGTCATTAAACAGCACCGTCTAATCAGTTCTCTGTGGAATTAGACTGAGAAGGACAGACATGTTGTTCAGTTTATATAATTCCAGTACTACAAAAGGTCAAGTTTTAGAATTCAAGAGTTGTCAAAGACTGGTCTAGAAACACTTCCTTAGACTTTCATTTTTTGTGAAACCTTCTGCTTTATGAAGTGGAGTCTCGTGACAATGTAATGCTTCCAAATTGTAATGGCAACCAAGCTAACAGAGGCTTCATCCTAGCCAGTCTGTTTATCTTGTGCTGAAGGATTACTGGTTATATCCTAATATACCTTTCCTCACATATGAAGTTTCATTACCACTATTTCACACCTCGCTGACTTTGCCCGGCTCTTTAGCGTAGTTAGTTAAACCTGTCTTTCGCGGCGGCCGGGTAACAAACTCCTTGTGGTCCGGACTTACTCCCAGGGGTAGGCAGAAAAGCCACATTTTCCCCCAGATTAACGGTACCTATAATCAAAACAAGGCCGAGGGGTTGCGATATCCACGGTACTGAGCCAAAGGGTTTACAACTCATGGTTTCTGGATACCTGAAAAAAAAAAAAAAAAAAAAAACCTCGCTGACTTTGAAGGACTTGGAGAGTGAATGGAGAGCTCTACACTGCAGTCTGGAGCTGGTACTTCGGTATCAAACTGGAAGTAAAGCCAATACATCAACCTGGCTATTGCTTTTATTTTAAAGTGGGCTATCTTCCGAATAACAGTCCCAAATTATCGAGGCCGAGAATATACCCTAACAGGACCCCAGTCACATGTCAATTGCGGACTTCCACCAACGCCGAGAGTATCTCCCACGCCGCTACGCGCGGTGTGGATTGGGGCTAAACTAGATAGCTGGGACTCACAAGCAAATAAAATTAAGGAAGCTGCAGGTGATGCGGTAGCTGCTGCTCGTGAGTCCCAGCGGCGTGGAAGATACTCTCGGCGGTGGCGGTAGTCGCCACAAGTCCGCAATTGACATGGGACTGAGGACCTGTTAGTGTATATTTTCGGCTTCGATATTTTGGGACCGTTATCGGAAGATAGCCTTTAAAGTACTATCTTTACTGCCTGTAATAAACTACTTTTTATGGCTGCATAAAGTCTTTAACTTGACGATTTAGGGTCAAATAACTATAGTATGATCAGACATTCATGAAAACATAGATTTCAATATTTTGGAAACTAATGAGCCGACTGTAATTAAATTCAGTATGCTCAATACAGACATCCATGAGGTTAGGGAGATATTTTTTTTTTGTTTTTTTGTTTGTTTTTGTGTTTGGTTTTTTTTTAACTTTTTCACGATAAACATTTTTATAATGAAACCCTCTTGGTAGAGTTTTGGACGTTTACTTTCATTCAGGAAGTAATTGTAATAAGTACACTAAAACGGGTTCATCACCGGCTCAAAGAGAAACTATTTAATTTCACGATTTTCTTGTGCAAAGTCATACAGAACCCAAAATAGGACGTCGTTCAAGACTGTTTAGTTAAATGCGTATCCACAAATTAGTGTTGGGTTATTGTGTGATATAGTTGGCTTATCGAAACTGACGTAGATATCATTTTGATGATTTCGAAGTTCAAATTTTTAATTATGCAGAAGGATGCCATTTTACTGTACCAACACTTCCGCTGGGAATTTAAGATGGGTCATTTATATTGAGATATACATGACCCATGGAAAAGATAAAAACTGGATTTCGGTCTGGATAGAGCATCATTTATTATGAAGATACGCTTTAGAAAAAAAAAATGAACTTCAAATTAGAATTGCAATGTTTACTGTAAGACCTAAAATGTCATTGTAGTTATTTACAACGGTTAGAAAAGAGTAAAGGAATTAGCTGATTAGCGATACCCGGAGCATCTATGGACTAAAAAATATCATTGTTTTCGGCGTCATGGATATTCAAAAGCGACCTAAAAAAAATCGTTCTCATCTAACAGACAGTTCTCGATAAAATACATGTGCAAACGTGTTCACAAATTCATGAACAGACTATAATTTAGTCTCTACATAATGTAAAGTTTATTAAGTTTCTATTTTTTTCTATATTGAGTCGCGGCGGTAGGAAGGTTGAGAACCCCTGTATCAAATAAACCAGCTTTCGTACAAGTTCGGCGGGACTCATGCTTCTCTAAACCTGGGTAACAGAAAGCTTATTAAACTATCAGCGCTAGAAATTGATTTTTAGAAGAATGTTGAAACAATCGTGGATAGAGAAACAGAAAGACACTAAGGCCTTGAAAACTGCAGATATTACACAGTTGCTCCTTGAAATAGTCCACGAAATGTGTGTGTGTGTGTGTGTGTGTGTGTGTGTGTGTGTGTGTGTGTGTGTGTGTGTGTGTGTGTGTGTGTGTGTGTGTGTGTGTGTGTGTGTGTGTGTGTGTGTGTGTGTGTGTGTGTGTGTGCGTGCGTGCGTGCGTGCGTGCGTGCGTGCGTGCGTGCGTGTGTGTGTGTGTGTGTGTGTGTGTGTGTGTGTGTGTGTGTGTGTGTGTGTGTGTGTGTGTGTGTGTGTGTGTGTGTGTGTGTGTGTGTGTGTGTGTGTGTGTGTGTGTGTGTGTGTGTGTGTGTGTGTGTGTGTGTGTGTGTGTGTGTGTGTGTGTGTGTGTGTGTGTGTGTGTGTGTGTGTGTGTGTGTGTGTGTGTGTGTGTGTGTGTGTGTGTGTGTGTGTGTGTGTGTGTGTGTGTGTGTGTGTGTGTGTGTGTGTGTGTGTGTGTGTGTGTGTGTGTGTGTGTGTGTGTGTGTGTGTGTGTGTGTGTGTGTGTGTGTGTGTGTGTGTGTGTGTGTGTGTGTGTGTGTGTGTGTGTGTGTGTGTGTGTGTGTGTGTGTGTGTGTGTGTGTGTGTGTGTGTGTGTGTGTGTGTGTGTGTGTGTGTGCTGGCATATGTTAACAATACGAATAAAACAGAACATGGTTTATCTGGCAAAATCTCACATATTTCTCGTAGAGGATTTGTGGAAGCGGAAAAGATGGGTAGAAATCCGTGGCTTTATAATTTTCTAGGGGACTGGAGTTATCAGAAAGCTTTAGACTTGTTTAGGTGTGCCATAATAATAATTATTATTATTTATTGCATAAGGCTCCCAGGTCTAACCAGGTTCGCTGGTGTACCAGGTATAGTCCTGGGAAGTAAAGGCAACTGGCGTGATATTAACAACATCATCCGCCGAGTGCTGATTGATCTATAAGATAAAGGTCTAGCCCTATATGCCCAATAAACCTGAAGATATGGAAAAAGGGACCGTAATTTTCTTTTATTCGTGTCATAATTTTATTTGTAGTTTGTTTAGTGATGAATGACACATAAATATGATAAAATGTAGTCCGATAATAAAATAAATATGTATAATTAAAAAACTTTAAAATATAACATCTGGTCATTTTTATGTTAGCCACTTCGCCCCGTTGCAAATTTACCAGCGCTTTAGGCCACCCCCACCTGTTTGTTTGTTTGTTTTAGTATCCAGAAGCCATGAGTTGTTAACCCTTAGGCTCGGTATTATGGATATCGCAACCTTTCTGCCTTGATTCCATTGTAAATACGTAAATCTGGGAGAAAATGTGGCTTTCCTGCCTACCCCCGGGATTGAACCCGGACCACAAGGAGTACGTCACCCGGTCTCCGCGAAATCCGGTTTAGCCAATTCCGCTAGAGAGCCGGGCTACCACCCCCACCTAAATGTGGTTGGGGGGGGGGGCAGGAACTGTTCAAGAGCCCTGAGCCTCAATGTTCCGCCCCTCCCCTCCGAAACCACCCCTCCCTCACCCCCACGACTATTACCACTCGTCCTTATTGAATTTGGAATATCTCGAAACTGTTTTAAGACATGATGTATCTCATTTTCTGGCCTCCATTTGTCACACTCGATCTGTTATTGTCTGTGTGCTAAAAGAGAACAGAGATTTAATAATGAAGTACTGACATCATCTTTACGTTTATTTGTCGCTTTTGATCATTCTAGAAACAATTTGAGTTTTATGGCTTTCTTTGCTCCCAATTATATTGCTCGAGTTTTTCGATTGTGTGTGTGTGTGTGTGTGTGCGTGTGCGCCTGTGCGCGTGTGCGCGTGTGCGCGTGCGTGTGCGCGTGTGTGTGTGTGTGTGTGCGTGTGCGTGCGCGTGCGTGTGCGTGTATGTGTGTGTGGATCAAATGTCGAAGGCGCAGACCATCTGTCTTCTTGAATTATGTCCCACCAATATGATACCCTAAGGCAGAGGTTCTCAATCTATGAGTCGGGACTTTTT